GAGCACACGTGCTCTATGGGGAGAATAAAAAGGTAGTCTAGGGGACCAGCAGGGACCAGCAGGTGGTATGGTGATTAAGGTGCTGGACTCCCATATGGTGGACTGCAGTTTGAGTCCTGGCCCCAGTGGCTTAAAACATATGCTGGGCCCGTGTGCATGCATGCCAAAAATTTCTAGAGGAGAATGGAGGAGAAGGGATTGAGGTGTCGTCATGCCCCCTGGGTGTGGTGATTTCTCACTTCCCCTCTCTCATCAGTAGAGCACCTGTCCTACAGCAAAACCTAAAAAGCGAGACAGTGTAGGACAGCCGGTGTGGTGGCTGGGGAGGCTGGGTCCCATATGGCCAAGTGCGTGGTTGCAGCCCCAGACCCAGGTGCTTGAAAAAACAAGCTGGCCGTGTGTGCGTGTGCTCCCCAAGTCCCGGAAGGAGAATGGAGGAGAAGGAATTGCGGCCTGGTCACCCCTCATGGGGAGTGCTTTTTTACGTTCTCTTTCTCCAGCAGGAGCATATTCCCAGTAGGAAATTTAAAAAGAAAAAAGAAAAAAGAAAAAGGATATATCAATAAATAGGTACCTACTCTAGAAACAGTAAAGATGAGATGCTGGGCCAGCCCTGTGGTCTAGTGGTTAAGGGAGCCAGATTCTACTTGGCCAATTGCGCGGTTCAAATCCAGTCCCAGTGGCTTGAAAACCTGGCCAATTGCACGGTTCAAATCCAGTCCCAGTGGCTTGAAAATCAACACACAGGGTCCATGTGAGTGAGCCCCAGATCCAGACAGGATGGAGAAATGAAGGGACTGTGGTGTGACCATGTTCCGAGGGTGTGCTTTCTCCCTCCCTCCCTCTCTTTCTCAGGCATACACCCTCTGACTAATTTTTAAAAAACAAAAAGGTGAGATCCCTTCCATGTTCTCCTTTCTCTGGCCCTGTCCACTCAAGTACTGCCTAAGCCCATTTCCTCTGTGAAGCCTCCTCTACCACTCAAGCAAGAGCAATCCTCTTCCTCTAACCCCCCAGGGCCCAGCATTTGTGGCTCCAGATGGAGCTTAACTTCTGCCTTAAGAAGCTCACCATGGCTGTGTATCCCCAATATGAAATGTAGCTTACGAGTTGGGGAACTATACACTTCGTTGCTCAAACTGGGACACTTTTGAAAATAAAGAGGTGCCATTGGGCTGGCAGGTGGCGTGGTGAGTAAAGTGGCTGGACCCCACTTGGCAAACGACACAATTCAAGCCTGAGATCTGGCGGCTTGGAAACGAAGGCAGGTGCCAGTGCACGCAGGCCCAAATGACCAAGAGGAGAGCGAGGGAGAAAGGATTGGCGCACGGTGATCCCCCCGCTGGGAGGGGTGATTTTTCACTTCCTCTCCCCCTCTCTGTCTCCGGTGAGTGCATATGCCAACAGGGGAGTTAAAAAAAAAAAAGAGGTCCCATTAATGATTATACAAGAGAGGGGCTGGCAAGTGGCATGGTGGTTAAAGGCGCTGGACTCCCATATGGCCGATCACGGTTCAAGTCTCGGACCTGGTGGTTTGCTTTCTCACTTCCTCTCTCTCTGTCTCTCTCTGATCAAACTGAAAAACAGTAATGATAATAATAATAAAGTTAAATAAAATGATTCTTTAAAAAAAATGATTATACAAGAGAGAACTAAGACTGTCCTGCACAAAATAGGTATACGCCTGTCCAACTTAGAAGACACCATCTTCTTCTTCATTTAGGAAAAACGTATATAACTCTTAACCACCACCTCACACCCTCTGCCCTCCGCACCAGCTGAAAGCACAAGCCCAACAACCTCGGTTTTCTGACCACCAGAGAGAGTTCAGGGAAAAAATAGCTTCACTCCGCAGCAGGAGGAAACCCGAGCTGCCCATGGAAGAAATACAATCTGAGAACCACAAATAAATATAACCTTTTTTCCCCTAAAAAAGAAAGAAAACCCCACTAGCTGAAACAACTTATCCTGATGTTTTCTTCAGAGACTCGGAGAAGGGGTTCTAGGACTGGCAGAGTATATCACTCCCCTCCTGAAACTGAATGTGGTCGGTAATGCAAAATGGTTCATGAGGGAGAAAAAGAAAAACAAGACAAAGAGCCAGAGATAAACCAACCCTCTCCACAGAGAAAATGGGACGCATGCTGACAGCAGGACGGTATGCTTCCAAGGCCAGCCAGCTGCTTCTCATTTCTGCCTCCTGCCTGAGAAGCATACACAACACGTTATCTTTAGATAGGCCCCTGGATAAATACCTAAACTTGAATGCGGCCCCACCCTGAGGCAAAGATTTCTCCCCACTAAGAGTGAGATGAGTCACTAGGAATAGGACACTGAGTTAAACGAGATTTCTTATAAATGGAACATCTTAGTGTCACCGTGGCAGAGGCTGCAGGAAATTTTTCTAGTATCAAGTGCTAAAAACATGGTATCCATACGAGCTGGGTAGATTATCAGTTGTCTCTATCCTGTGCAAAAGCCAAGCATTCACAATCCCCTGAAAGTTAAAACTAGAGTTGTACAGAAACATTCAAACTTACTAATGTTATGTCTCTCTTCACCCAAGAAAAGTTAACAGGGTGGCATCCGGGGAATTGGTGGGGAAAAGGAAAAAAAAAAGAAAAAGAATTTTTATCTTTTTCATTTCATACCCTTTTTGTTATTTAAACAATTTCCTTGTGTACATTTATAAGTTCTAGAATTAAAAATGATCTAAATTGAGGGCCGGCAGGTGGCTGGTGGTTAAAAGTGCTGGACTCCCACATAGCTGACTCCAGTTCGGGTCCTGGACCTGGTGCCTTGTTTTTTCACTTTCTCTTTCTCTCTTTCTGTCTCTCTCTGGTCAAATTGAAAAATAATAATAACAAATGGAATTAAATAAATAAATAATTAATTAAGAAAAAAAAAAAAAAAGACCATCTAAACTGTTGCTATCTACCAGCTCACTCACTAACATGCCCAAAGTCTAGTTTTCCATTTCTCCAGGCCCTAGTGAGGCTCTGTCATGATATAATTCAACTTTACAAGTCTGGAAAGGAAGATGGAGATCTTGCTCCTTGGGAGTTGAATGCAAGAGAGAGAGGTGGGAAAAATCCAGTATTTCTCCAGTTGCACACAACTACGGAAGATACACTGCGAAAGTGGATGGGAGGGTAGAAGCTAAAGAATCAATGCATGCAAAGAAATGTTATTTAGTGAAGTTTCAGGTCCAAGGGCTCTTTACCAAGAGATGGAAAAAAGATCAAGCATTTGGGTTATTGGGGTGTCTTACACTTAGAACGGTGTACACAAAAATCTCTACTCAAGTCCTCTAATGCGCTCCCCTGAGGTGAAATCAGAGGTAGCCAAAAGGAATGGGTTCCAAATTGCCTTACACATTAAACAACTTTTCCCAAATTTGTATTTCACAAGGGAAACTTGCGTGTAATTGGTGTTAGAATTGAACTTCACCCCAGTTCAAAATGAGGACATCCATTCACCCCAGCAGCTGTCTGTAGCAGGAATTAGGTGCATTTTGATCTGCTAAAGACCAGTATGTATTGCACAGGGGAAGTTGTAGAGTTGAGGATATTTTAAAAGGAAAGTACAGTCAGTGATCTGTCTAGATTTCTTGGGGGCTGGAGTAACTCAAAGTAGGGGGGCCAGGCGATCTCCTGTGACCTCTCTCTGGCGAGGTTTTGCAGCTAACCGGCCAAAACAGCCTAACGCTGCATGACCAGTCAGCATGGCTGGGTGAGTCCAACTGGCTCAAAGAGGACCAAAAATAAGCCGCAAAGCATTCAGGAATCATGCTTCTGGTTTGGATTCCAAACACACTTTGTGCTTATCCCTCCCGAGCGGGGGATTTTTATGTAATGTGTGTGCCTTTACACAACGGAGCCAACGGAGAAATCTGGAGGCAAAGGAATGCAGATTGTGGGTCAACAGAGATGCCTGACCCGTTCTTTTTGGCTTAAAAACACGGATTTAAAGTAAAACACCATGACTCCCTCTAATTGAGAAACAGATTCGGCCTGCCAGAGAGAAACCGCTGTTCAAATAAAGCCGCCGGCAGACGTTTCCTCCACACCCTGTTCACCTGGAGGCCAGTGACCCACGAGCGGTCCTGGGAGCCGAAAACTGAAAGAGGGGCGGGGAGAAAAGAATAAGCACCCCTCGCCCAGCACCGCCGGCAGCGGCACAGCCCCAGGTCCTTCTGACGGCACTGACCCCGGAGAAAACCGGCAGCGGCTCAAACGCAGGACCCAGACCCAAGGCGACTGCTCTCCGCACCCTGGCAGAACCCAAAGGCGGAGAGCCCCGACGCGGGGCCACTGGGACGA